GGCTTTGCGCATCGGAAATGCTGCCTTGACCGGGACTGTGTTTCATGTTTTAGGGTAAGCCTTAATAAATAAAGTCTCCTTCTCTTGAGGAGGAGACAATGCAAGAAACTGCCATCACACCCTGCTGTTCCTCACATCGCATTCATTTTTTTTCCCTCCCATATACATTTATTCAGTTAATGTTAAACCCAGATCAGATTTAAGATTCAAGTCTTATCTGTACGGACATGAGAAGGGGATAATGTAAAAGACAGAGAAGTGGTAACTCTGTGCTTTGGTTCAGTTACAAAGTGTCACGTGTTCTGTGCTAGCTGCTGGCATGGCCCTGCTAGTTTAAAACTAGTCATGTTTTTCTAGTCTTCAAAACGTGTCTTTACCTCTATGGATTGTGAAAGACAAACGAAGGAAGTACTGGCTATAAATAAAACAATATTATGTGTATGAAGCAAGTATTGGAAAAACAAATATATTTTTCAGTGATTGTAGGCCTCAGTCTTTGAAATAAGCTGCTCAAGTTAGATCTAGTTGCAGGATAGGAACCAAAAACTACTTTGAAAATCTCTTATCTGAATATATTGTACTTTGCATTAAAATTATTTCATACTATGCTTTTCCAAAATGTATTTTTGTTAGAGTTAATGGCTGTTCATACCCTGGAGGAGGATGTGCTCAGCAATAAGACTAACAGTCTTGGTCCACAAATCTGTCAGAGAGGTGGACCTGCTGGAGCATGCTTTAGATCACTTCCAGCCAGTGTACTGTGTTCCCTGCCTGTGGATACCAAGATAAGCAGAAAAGCTCACACTGACAGCTTGTGGGCATCTTACCCTGAAGCTGGGGACTGCTGGGCACACGAAGGGACACACCTCTTTGCAGTGCTGGCAAACTCCTGCCATTTGCAGCTTTAATGTTTCAGAGTAGTAGAAACCACTGCTATACCGCTGCTGTCCAGTTGCTCAATTGCCTAACTTTTTATTCTCCTGTTAATCCACTCGTCTCCAGGTCAGTCAAGTAGGCAAGAGGAATTAAGGTCTTTTATTTTAATTAAAGTGGTTCTTAAGACGGTGTGTGGACAAATTAGAGATCAGGCGGTGTATAGTAACGTTTGGGAAATGTTGATCTAAGGAAGAAGTTTCTTCTCACTTGGAAAGGGAGTGGATCAAATGACATTTTATTGTTTATTAAAACAGGGTACTGTAGATGAAATGAAGATTTAGCTGTTTATAGTCTTAGGTATTATGAAGTGGTTAGTATTTAAATGGGACTTATTATCCCAGTGCATTTAAATTTTAGCCTTTGGCTTTCAAGTTCATTTTTAACCTGATAGCTTTGCAACAAAAGAATGAACAGCCCTGTCTATGATTTGAGATTTAGATATTTACTGAATTCACAGAATAAGATCCTGTTGTCGGAGATACCAGGGCGCGTCACAAATAGTAATTGGAGCATGCAACCTTCCTACAGGCTGGCCCTTTTTTCCTCAAGCAGTAAACCAAGTGGGAGGTAGAACAGCTTCCTGTTTACTGTATACGTAGGCAATTAAACCTTGAGTTCATAATTAGCAATATCCTGTTTTAATGAGTTAGTGCATTTCCTTCTCAGAAACAAAAATTTTTCATGATTCTGGCAAATGTCTAGCAGGAGTTTTATTTATTTATTTATTTACTTATTTAGTTGTTTGTTTTTGCTAAGGAATTAGCTAGTCATTCATTAACTTTGCCTAGTAAAAACACTTCTCTGTACCTTGACACTAGAACTTGAGATTTCCACTAAAGGAGCCTTCAAAGTTCGTCTCGATAAAAGGTCATTGCTCTCATGTTTGAGGAACTTAAATACTGTTTAAAGGTTATAACTCTATAGGGAAAATGAATTATCTGTGCATTGTTAGATTGTTCTTTTGTAGAGAGCAGCTTGTCAAGAGAAAGAAGTGTGATGTTTGGCAGTACCCCAACTGGGGTTGCAGTCTTCTACCGCTGTTAAGGACAGAGAATTGGTTTGCTGACCATCTGCCTCTGATTTATCAATCCAAAATCATCTCAAAACCGAGGTGATTGTAACACCAAGTGGGGTCTGCTTTGCACGCTGTTAATATTTTTTCTCCCCTTTAGAGCATTTAACAAACCATCTGTCCTCTTCCCTCTTGTTTTTTCCTTAAAAAAAAAAACCATGGAATTCTCATACTGGCAGGAGAAGCTATCTTCTGCTAAAATGTACAGCTGAAAGCCAGGAGTTTATAATTTCTGATTCTGTCACAAGTAGAGCATTTCTGTGTTAGAAAAGTATTAACTAACTCTCTACTGCTGTTTGTGTTTCTTTCTTAATATTTGTAAAATCTTAGGGTCGTTGGATAGAGTAGTCAGTGCAGATGTATTTGAATTGGAAGGAGGTGGTATGACCACTTGACTCTTTTTTTTTTCTTCTTCTTTTCTGTAAATGTAGCTCTGGTAAGAGTGAGCCTGAAAAAAGGAGTGACTTTTTTTTTTTTTTTTATTCTTTACCAAGTGTTCAGTGGTGAT